TGGGCTACACGGTTATCCGCTACCCGGCAAAATCACTATGCGGTGCATCTCTACTGAAAAGTGTTATTGAAATGAAACTTCGTTACGCACGGTAGGGTAAGTTCGTTTCATGCGAGTTGTTATGTAACGAAATCATGCAACGGATGTCCCCCCCTACTCGGTCACGTAGTCGAATTCGTAGTGGGGATCGCTTAAGCCGTGATCGCGCTTCACTGCAACATTCGTTACAGGCAACTCCAGCATGTATAGTGTAAAATTTAAATTCATAGTGTACAAATAATACCATTAAACCAACTCCTTAACCCCTATCCCGGTACGTTTGTGTGTTTGAAGAAGTTTCACTTCAGTAGCGTGTTGTATTTTTTTTTATTTTGATATGGATTTTCATTAAGTAAAATTTGAATTTTTCTACTGCAACAAATATGTGAGTTAGACAAATGCGAATCGAACTTTTTATTCATGTTATTGCCCTTCAAAAAGTTTATACGAAGAGATAATATGTATTATAAAAATAACTGAATGATCTTGCATTCTATGGTAAAAGCATCACTAGGCAAATGTACCGTTCCAATTTTCTTAGCCCAGATTCTGTGACCGCAGCGCCATAAGAACAACAACATAACGATATTAATCGTGGGAAATGCAAGTTTGCTGACTATAATTATGGCTAGCTATTTAATTGTAGGTTCTTACAGAGTTGGGTGGAGTTATTTTGATTAATCATTTCATTATGTGCCGTTTAAAGCGAGCAGCTGCAAATTTGTAATCCTTTTAAAGCCTTCGGTCATCGGGTCATCAATAAAAGTGTGGTTAACTATATATGAATTTAAAATTTAAGACAAAGTAAAACGAACCAAGTGGCATCTAATTAGTATTCGATGAAATGAAAACAAAATTCGGTTAAAATTTCATCAATTGAAGTGGAAGAGACCAAAAAAATAGTGATTAATTTCTTATTTCATTAATTTATGATAATAATGTCTTATATTTTAAGGACAGTTTGATGTGCATATGTCTTAAGGATGTTTGGGAGGTACAATCGGAGACAAGAGTACATAAAATTAGAAATTCGTGATTAATTAGGTTTTGCAGCATATCATGAGGTAAATAAATACTATCTATACTAAAAAAAGTATACGGTTTGAGAGAAAATTTGGAATTTGACCAAAAACTTTGAATAAAATAAGAAATAACGAATAATATGGAAAATTTTTAACTGACTTTTGGCAGTGAATATGCCTTGATTTCAACTTCGAAACAAAAAAATATTTAGTTTCAATCTCTATTAATAATGAGCGTAAAACTTTTTAATATGTTTAAATAATAATTAAAACTTTAAAATTGCATTTATTTCAGACAATTATAAATATTATCATTATATTATCAAGTAAAAACGAGATTTTCAGCTAATTTTTCATTTTTTCCTCGATAACCATTTAGTGAATTTGAATAACCTTACGCTAAAGTGATTCTCCAGAGTTCAAGTTACTTATTATAAAAGTTTGAAATTTCTGGTAGCTTTTTTTCTGTTAATAAAAATAAATTTAATCTGTTCGGTTAACGAATCTCCATAAAATGACGTGTAAAATTACAATTTTTTAAAATTTCAATAACTTTTTAACGGTTTAGTTTTAGAATTGAATGAGGAACGTTCTTCCAAATTTTTATTTGTCTCGTAGCATTTTGACATACCTCCCAAACATCCTTAAACTTTTTTTTTCATCTTTGCTTTTTTTATGTATCTACTACCTAATCTTTCCGAAAATGTTAGTCCATGTTTAAAAAAATGTAAGCTAGGCTTTACGTAATTTTAAGTGATATGCATGTTATTTTAAATTTACATTAACACCAATTTTGTGGTTGTTAATAATATTTCTCTTAAAATGATTTCAAAAACCAACCACTATACTTTGCAGTGAAATAAAGCATAAAATCAAATACTTGCAGGATGGAATCATGTAGGTAGATGACAATAACCATTGCCGATTTTTATAGGCAGATGCTTAATAAATGTGTGTTTTTAAATTTACAGTACACAAATTATAATGAGGTATCTCTTGATAAAGAGTGGCAGGAATAGCCCCTTTTTGAGGTCATGTACTTACTGTGATGTGCGTTAATATACTTACATATGCGTACTCCTTATTAAAATTTTAGAGATTGGAGATTGAGTTTGATTGTGACATCTTTTTAATAACAGAAACTTCACAAAACTCTTTTTAGTCCTATCTAAGGAAGTTTGACTGCTATTTGTTTTTGTAATAATTAAATTAATATTATTTTAATCCTATATCATCTGTCCTTACCTAAAAGAAATGGGGCCTCTAGGTGGATGATCTATATCTATGCCTTTTTGGTAATTTAACATTGCGTTTATAATTCTTCAATGACATTGTTGCATTGAATGTTTCAGGTTATTGCAACACGTTTAACAAAATTGAGCATTATTTTGACAATATTAATTTTTTGTTTTATTATGTAATGTAATCTTGAATATTTTTATCCCGAAACATTCCCAGTTCCCATGTTTTAAATAATTCTAGGTAAAGGCCGTGTTATTTATGCAAAAAGAACCTGTGCAATTTAATTACCTGTGTTTTTATGTCTGTTCACGACATTTAAGTCAACAAACAAATGTTATACAATGAGGCCATTATTCTTAGCGAGTTTGATGACATAACCTGTTAATGACTCTTATTAATACCTGTTAATTCTGAAACCTTGATTTGCACTGAGCCGTCTATTTATTTGCGCCTATTCATTTTTATGAACAACAAACAACTGCGTTACTTTCACCGTATAACTGCTTGTTATTATTACAGTCGTATGTCCATGTTTATGTGTGTGTACGTAATACGTACGTGTGGACGGATGATACGATGATCGTCGAAAGCAATGTTAATCTATAGCATTTGTTATTATGTGTGTAATAATAACCGCTGTATTCTTCTCGAAGTAACGCAACATATTTTGCACTTGGGTAAAATTTATGTAAGCATGCTCTTTTAAAACGAACGTCATTGTGTGTAAGACACTTAACTTGTCCGTTTAAGATCAACTTTCATTAGTGTTATTCTTATTGTGAAACTTGTTGCTAATGTGAAGGCCGTAAATGTTATTAAATTATTGAGAATAGATATTTTGTTACGTGTCACTTTAGGTATTAACAGAAAACTGGAAGAAGAAAAATATAGGGTTGTTCGGAAAGTCATTTCGTTTTTTCCCGACAGAGGATTTAATTGTATTCTTTTGCACCAAACTTCACATTTAAGCCGTATAATTTTTATATGCTTTGAGAGCTCATATAGCAAGGCTTGTGTGTGAAAAATTCCAATTAATTCTACGCAGTAGTTTTTGGTTGGTGCCCTTTT